TTTGGGGATGAACCGGACACAACAGTGACGGCTGCTTGGGTCGGGTCCGGGACAACTTTTCGGACGCGCGCGCAAGGAGGGCCGCGGGCTGACGAGAGAGGTTAGGTAGGACCTGGCGGTAGGTAGTGGACTGAGTAGACGGTCTCGAGCTGAGAGAAGAGAAGAGAGAGGCCCGTCGACTGTTTCCGGACCGAAAACGCCCGATGATAGACTGGCTATACTACCGCTGTAGTTTAACGGTTGGGCTATTGAACGAACTCCGAATGCGACGAAACTTGACAGGCGGTCTACCTACACTATAATAAGACCGCACGCCAACTTTCATCCCATTCCGAGAAATTTTCCGGCCACTTATAAAATAATATTTCGGACATGCCACGGGCGCGTGCAAGTGTGTCTGGGCTCGGAATGGACAACAGAAGGAACTGGGGGAACCCGGACGGATGCAGGTTTTGAAAAACATGACGATGCAATGCACATGATGACATGACAAGACGCAACACGCAAGTAAATGACATGACAACATCAGCGAATAACTGGAAGACATCTGGCGCAACGGTCTCGGGGCGTCACAATATCTACTACACAACCTTATTCTTGTAGACGTTGTTGGGCCTCCAAGTGCTGAGGTTTGTAGGACAGTAGCAAATTTCCCTCAAGTGGATGACCTAAGGTTTATCAATCCGTAGGAGGCATAGGATGAAGATGGTCTCTCTCAAGCAACCCTGCAACCAAATAACAAAGAGTCTCTTGTGTCCCCAACGCACCCAATACAATGGTAAATTGTATACGTGCACTAGTTCGGCGAAGAGATGGTGATACAAGTGGTATATGGATAGTAGATAATGGTTTTTGTAATCTGAAATTATAAAAACAGCAAGGTAACTAATGATAAAAGTGAGCGTAAACGGTATTGCAATGCTAGGAAACAAGACCTAGGGTTCATACTTTCACCAGTGCAAGTCCTCTCAACAATAATAACATAATTGGATCACATAACTATCCCTCAACATGCAACAAAGAGTCACTCCAAAGTCACTAATAGCGGAGAACAAACGAAGAGATTATGGTAGGGTACGAAACCACCTCAAAGTTATTCTTTCCAATCAATCTATTGGGCTATTCCTATAAATGTCACAAACAGCCCTAGAGTTCGTACTAGAATAATACCTTAAGACACAAATCAACAAAAACCCTAATGTCACCTAGATACTCCAATGTCACCTCAAGTATCCGCGGGTATGATTATACGATATGCATCACACAATCTCAGATTCATCTATTCAACCAACACATAGAACCTCAAAGAGTGCCCCAAAGTTTCTACCGAAGAATCACGACGAAAACGTGTGCCAACCCCTATGCATAGGTTCATGGGCGGAACCCGCAAGTTGATCACCAAAACATACATCAAGTGAATCACGTGATATCCCATTGTCACCACAAATATGCACGGCAAGACATACATCAAGTGTTCTCAAATCTTTAAAGACTCAATCCGATAAGATAACTTCAAAGGGGAAACTCAATCCATTACAAGAGAGTAGAGGGGGAGAAGAAACATAAGATCCAACTACAATAGCAAAGCTCGCGATACATCAAGATCGTGCCAACTCAAGAACACAAGAGAGAGAGAGAGAGATCAAACACATAGCTACTGGTACATACCCTCAGACCCGAGGGAGAACTACTCCCTCCTCGTCATGGAGAGCACCGGGATGATGAAGATGGCCACCAGAGAGGGATTCCCCCTCCGGCAGGGTGCCGGAGCGGGTCTAGATTGGCTTTCGGTGGCTACGGAGGCTTCTGGCGGCGGGACTCCCAATCTATTGTGATCCCTGATCATTTTAGGGTATATGGGTATATATAGGAGGAAGAAATACACCAGGGGAGCCACGAGGGGCCCACGAGGGTGGAGGGCACGCCCAAGGGGGTGGGCGCGCCCCCCTGCCTTGTGGCTTCCTCATTGCTTCCCTTACGTGCACTCCAAGTCTTCCCGGGTTGCGTTCCTTCCAAAAATAAGTTCCGTGAAGTTTCAGGTCAATTGGACTCCGTTTGATTTTCCTTTTCTGCGATACTTTAAAACAAGCAAAAAACAGAAACTGGCACTGGGCTCTGGGTTAATAGGTTAGTCCCAAAAATAATATAAAAGTGTATAATAAAGCCCATAAACATCCAAAACAGATAATATAATAGCATGGAACAATCAAAAATTATAGATACGTTGGAGACGTATCAACTAAGGCCAACTCCACCGCGTGACCCCATCCCGTTCGGCCCCGTCCGTTTGGGGTAAAAGGGACAAACGAGGCGGCCCAGCGCGCGACGGCCTGGACCCATCTGGTCAGTTTTGTGTCCGGGCCGATCCATTTCGAGCGCAAACTTGCGCCGGGTTTGGGCCGCGGCGGACACCAAACGGACGCATCGCTCATCCGCGTCGGGGCCCATGGCATGCGGCCACCTACCTCCCACCGCCTGACATCAATGCGCATGCGCGGCCGGCCCTGCCTGTCATCCACGCAGGCGAACGGTCGTGGTCCTTCTTAAATGGGAACCCGTGGACCGGTCGTCTTCCACACCCCCCCCCCACTCCACCCCGCGGTCTCCTCGAAACCCGACAACCCCAAATCCTAGCCTCGCCTCGAACTCGCCGGCCGGCCACTGAGGGAGTCCTGGACTAAGGGGTCCTCGGGCGTCTGGCCTGTTAGTTATGGGCCGGACTGATGGGCTATGAAGACACGAAGACCGAAGACTACACCCATGTCCGGATGGGACTCTCCTTGACTTGGAAGGAGAGCTTGGCGACTAAATATATAGATTCCTTTCTTTGTAACCGACCTTGTGTAACCCTAGATCCTCCCAGTGTCTATATAAACCGGAGGACTTAGTCCAGAAGATAGACATTATCATAGCCATGCAGGCTAGACCTCTAGGGTTTAGCCATTACGATCTCGTGGTAGATCAACTCTTGTAATACTCATATTCATCAAGATCAAATCAAGCAGGACGTAGGGTATTACCTCCATAGAAAGGGCCCGAACCAGGGTAAAACATTGTGTCCCCTGTCTCCTGTTGCCATCGACCTTAGACGCACAGTTCGGGACCCTCTACCCGAGATCCGCCGGTTTTGTCACCGACAGCCACCTCGCAGCCATGGGGCTATGGAACTACGGCCGCGAGGGGAAGCACGACCGCGAGGCTGGCTCCTCGTCGGGGCGCCGCTGCGGCTCCATGAAGAAGGAGGAGCCCGCATCACCACCGGGTCAGGCCCCCGCGCCGCTCGCGTTCTCCTTCACGCCCACGGCCGCCGGCGAGCGCGACCGGCACTACATCGAGGCAGCCGTATGCCGCCGCTATTGGGAGACGAGGACGCCGCTACCCTAGAGCAACGTCCACCTTACCAACAACTGGCACTTGTCGGCCGACCGCGTGTCGATCCCGCTGGTCCCGCTGAGCGGCCGTGCGCGCCGCCAGGAGATCGAGCACCGCCGCCGCCTCCTCCCGGACGACCTCTACTACGACGAGAGGTACGCCCCCGACTCGCCCCTGTGGGCCACGTGGTTCTGGGATGAGCATGACATGCGGCGGGCGCCCTTCTTCCCCGGCACGTCGACGGGGCCACGGCGGCCACGTGAGCACCGAGCAGCTGCTCCCCAGGCGCGCGGGCGTACGCGGGTGCCGTCGCCACCACCACCTCCTCGCATGACAGCGGAGGAGGAGGAGGCCCGTCTCATGGCGCGTGTCATGGAGGACTCCATGTGCACGCACGACGAGTGCCAATGGGAGGGCCTCGAGGAGATGATGACCCTCTCCGCGCCGGCGACGTCGCCATCCCCGAGCTGGAGATGGTGGCGAAGGAGGAGGTGATGGAGGAGGCGACGGTGGCCGCTTTCCACCCGGGCCTGGTTGGCCAGCACTAGAGCTGGTCGTGCACGACTCCGGATATGGCGAACGCCGTGGGGGGAGTGGACTGGTGCCCCACGCTGCCGCGATCACCGGAACGGGACGTCTCGCCGCGGGAGGAGGTGGTGCAGGCACCTGCCACCTTCCAGCACGCCGCCCACGTGCACCACGGACCGCCGGCCCACCTGTGGACGCCACCGGACTACGTCGACCTCGTCAATAATGACGATGACACCGGCGGCCACTGAAGACGGTGACGGCCACGGCATCGACGGGCGCGGCAGGAGCGCGCGGGCGGCTTTTTTATTTTGTTTTTATGTTAATTATGGCACTGGGCCGTTTAAGCGTGAAACTGAGCTGTTTTATGGCCGTGATCCCTAACTTATGTTTTAAATTTTTTAAACTATGTTTATTTATTTATTAGGTATTTTATTGAAGTTTTTTTATATTTTTTTATCACGCCCACCCGAACATGATTTGGGATGCGGCTGCGTGTTAGGCGTACTTATGATCCAACGGATAGACGCGGACATGGGCGAACCCGTTGCCGCTCCAAAGGAATAAAATCCGGCCAAACCGGACGTTCGTTTGGAGTCGTGCGGTGGAGTTGGCCTAACAACAAAGTATGCGGGAGACACGCGTGAGACAAACGAACTGTGTGTGAAATCATGAACGGCTGGCCTTGTCTCCCATCATTTCCTCCCGCGGCATCTTGCTTGCGCAATTGATCGGTCATGAGAGTTCGTCGCCCCCTCGTGCGCGTCTTTGTCGAGTACCGAGCGGCAAGAGCTTCAACAAAGTAGGCATTCGCATGAACACTCTGACGGAGTCCTACCGCATCAGTCTTTTTCAGTCTCTTCTTTTTGGAACTATTCCTTTTCCTTTGACGGTTGGAGAGAACGTGTAGATCCTCCGATCTAATCAAAGTGGTCGCTTGCGAATTCATTGCAGCAATGGCGACAGCTCTTGCCAGAATCGTCGCTTGATATTTCCTTGTTGAAACTTGCAGCCTCCAAACTAAAGTAAAGGAGTTGTATCCAGAGCAGCGACGGCAAGGCAAAATTTGAGCACGCCGGCTCACCTCGCAAGCTGCAGAGATGCTTCTTACCTTGATCGCCGTGCTCGCTTCGGCGTGGCCCGCGGCGGCAGCGGCATCGCAACCACCGAGCGGAACATGCCAGCGGCGGTGCGGCGACGTGGACATCCCGTACCCGTTCGGCATCGCCCGCGGGTGCTACCTCTACACGGGCGAGAACGACGTGACCTTCGGCCTCACCTGCAACCTCACCGCCGACGGCACCTACAGGCCCTTCTGCTTCGAGGTCGAGGTCCTGGGCGTGTCCGTGGCCCGCGGGCAGGCGCGCGTCCGCAACGAGATCAACCCGTGGTGCTACAACGCCACGTCCCGGTCCATGGACGGGGGGAGCAGCATGTGGACGGACTTCTCCGACTCGTCCTTCATGCTGTCCGACGAGGACAACCGGTTCACCGTGGTCGGGTGCAACTCGCTCGCCTACGTGAGCTCCAAGGACGCGTCCCAGTTCGCGACGGGCTCCACGTACATGACCGGGTGCATGGCCACGTGCCCGGGCGCCGGCCGGCTGGAGAACGGCTCCTGCTCCGGCATGGGCTGCTGCCAGGCGGCCATCCCCAGGGGGATCAACTCGTACGACGTGGTGTTTGAGGAGAAGTTCAACACCACCGCGATCGCTAACTTCAGCCGGTGCAGCTACGCGGTCCTGGTCGAGGCGGCGTGGTTCGACTTCCGCACCACCTACGTCACCGCCGGCGACTTCATGGCGTCCACCGGCGGGAAGGTTCCGCTGGTGCTCGACTGGGTGGTAGGGAAGGTGACGTGCCGGGAGGCGATGCGGAACACCACGGCCTACGCCTGCGTCAGCAGCAGCAGCGTGTGCGTGGATTCGAGGAACGGCCCGGGATATCTCTGCAACTGCTCTCGTGGGTACCAAGGCAACCCATACATGCAAGGCGGCTGCCGAGGTCTGCTCTTCGTCTTTTTCCTATTCCTATCCTACTCGATATTGCCGAGGTCTGCTATAAGAAATTCAGATTTGGTTTTTGCTTTTGCAGATATTGACGAGTGCGGCGATGGTGGAATCAGTTACCCGTGCTCTGCTCCTGGTACCTGCATCAACACCCCGGGAGGATTCAGGTGCGCTTGCCCTGACAAGACAACAGGCAACGCTTATACTGGCACATGCGAGGCCAAGAAATCTCAACTTGGAGCGCACATTGCAATTGGTACGCCATTTGACTCCATTTGACATTTCTCTGCTCTCCCAAGAACAAGAAGTATGCTTCCTGAATTCTTTCAGACGTGTGAATCTTAATTTCTAGCACACCTTTTTAATGCAGGTGTTAGCATCAGCGTAGTTGTACTGGTAATTAGCATGTCCTGCGCCTACCTGATCCACGAAAGGAGGAGCCTCGCCACCGTAAAGCGGAGGTACTTCAAGCAGCACGGAGGCCTCATGCTGTTCGAGGAGATGAAGTCAAAGCAAGGAGTGTCCTTCACGCTGTTCACCAAGGAGGAGCTAGAGGAGGCAACCGGCAGATTCGACGAGCGAAATGTGATCGGGAAGGGAGGCAACGGCACTGTCTACAAGGGCACCCTCAAGGACAGCCGAACAGTGGCCATAAAGCGGTGCAAGCTCATCAACGACCGGCAGAAGAAGGAGTTCGGGAAGGAGATGCTCATCCTGTCCCAGATCAACCACCGGAACGTCGTCAGGCTCTACGGCTGCTGCCTCGAGGTGGAGGTCCCCATGCTCGTCTACGAGTTCGTCCCCAACGGCACCCTGTACCAGCTCATCCACCGCCACGGAGCGCGCGCCCCCCTGCCCCTGGCGACGCGCCTCAAGATCGCGCACGAGGGCGCCGAGGCGCTCGCGTACCTGCACTCCTGGGCCTCGCCGCCGATCATCCACGGCGACGTCAAGTCGCCCAACATGCTCATCGACGACGGCCACACCGTCAAGGTCTCCGACTTCGGGGCCTCCACGCTGGCCCCGACGGACGAGGCCCAGTTCGTGACGTTTGTCCAGGGCACCTGCGGCTACCTCGACCCGGAGTACATGCAGACCTGCAAGCTGACGGACAAGAGCGACGTGTACAGCTTCGGCGTCGTCCTCCTGGAGCTGCTCACCCGGAGGAAGGCGCTCAACCTTCAGGCCGCCGAGGGCGAGGAGAAGAACCTCTCGTCGCACTTCCTTCTCGCCGCGAGCGCGAGCAAGCTGGACGAGATAGTGGACGCCCAGATCGTGGACGAGCAGAGCATCGAGGTGATTGAGCAGGTGGCAGAGATAGCAAAGCAGTGCCTGGAGATGGGCAGCGAGAGGAGACCCTCCATGCGCGAGGTTGCAGAAGAGCTTGGCGGGCTAAGGAGGCGTCTGCTTGCGCAGCATCCGTGGGGCCAAAAGAGTTCCGAGGAGACGGAAGCCTTGCTTGCTGTTGGGTCGCCACCGCCAGCAAGCAATTGCTCCGAGATTGAGCTTAGCAATGCATATGTCAGCCTGGACGATTCTGCGTATCTGGGAGTGCAATCCCCACGGTGATACCATTTTTTCTTGCTTCCGGCGAGCCCCGGACCCTCCTGGATCGAATTTTGTGAGCATACGGCCAGCTGTCGTGTGCTTGCGTATGCACGTTTTGGTAACAAAGAAATGGTCACGTACTAACATGATGTTTGTGCACGTTTACTAGTTTTTAGATGAACGTATACAAGGATTTTTTTTTTTTGCATAAGGTGTAGTAAATACTCCCTCCGTAAAGAAATATAAGTATGTTTAGTAAGACTAGAACAATGCACGTGCGCTGCAATACATATTTCTCTGTTTCAACATTAACCATTTGTAATATATATTTTTCATATCCTCATGTGTATTAACATTGTGGGCTTAATTTTACTGTTATAAATCATTCTGCTTCCAAGGCCTATGAATGATATCTCATTGATACCAAGGCTATCTTAGGGGAAGAGCTCGGCTATAAGCAATCAAATCCTTAATTCCAAGGCCACCCAAGGACTTAGGTGCACAAATGTACTTCTAGTTCACAAGGAATTAGAAGATAATGGGCCATCAACATGGACTCTATATTGTAATTGTACATTTTACCAGGGCAAAAAAATGGAAGAGACAGAACTATGAAAAATATTTGTCACTCTTTTCTTTTCATGTCATTTCAGCATCTATCATGAGAGTATAATGTGTAATTTTAGAGCGTGGATGCATTTAGCATCATTGTTACCTTCAGCGAAACACATGATTATGTACCTATGCCTTCGCACACCCTTGCAACCAAATTGATCCTTCATCAGAGGCATAATTCCATGAGAATTAGATTTCGGCTGTATATGTTGTGTTTAAACCTATGATTCGTTCATCCCCTATTTGCACGTTCATATGCTAGCCATATATAATGTGTTTATAGATAGTCGGTATCTAGGGCTACGCATGGAGGCGGTAGGAGATGTCTTGGAGTATACGTCAAATCTTCGGCAAACATGGTCTTGATCATCCCTAGACATGTAGCTTCTGGAGTCTTGACATGTCTTGCCATGGGCCTATCCGAAGGTTATGGGCCGACCAGCTTAGTACCCCCTAATCCGGGACACTGTCAACGCCCACCTAATCTTTTCCATGGCACCCTCTTTTCTTCACACCATACTTTCTCACGGACCGCCAAGGAGGACTCCCCCGCCAACCGCCTTGGTCCCATCCCCACCTGTTTGTGATGGTCCGCTACAGTTGAATGGCCTTGCATGGCCACGGAACAACAAAAACATAGTGATCAAACAACTATTCTAATTGCGAAATGTGCGTCGAACATGACAGCCTATGGTTACCATCCCTATCTCCACTCTCTATACTTACTTCATACTTAAAAAAATAAGTAATATTCCTTTTCCTGCAAGCAGATACCTTCATCCAACTTTCCATGTATGTTGATAGCCCCTTCAATCACCAATAATATGGTTGTCGTGTATAGCGAGGCAATAACCATTTTTTTCTTTGCAATAATGGTTTTATTCTTTCCTTTGTAATGCATAATAACTCTGCAGTTACTATTATGTGATCACCTTCCTAACCAAGGTCGCAAATCAATCTCTAATAAACCAATCTCAAATATATACCGATCTCTAATATATGGTTCATTAATCAAAATTATTGTGGAACCACCAACATATTTGTATACCCATAGTAATGCACGGGCAATTACCTAGTAACAACAAATTTACTCACTCCCTCCCGCATAGGCAATCAACGGGTCTATTCAACCACGTACTCCATGCAAGATGATAAAGCAACATCTTCGATCCTATCCTCTCTCTCATCCACTATTTAACCAACGACAACATTTCCATTCAAGAAGATAACAACATCTTTCCTATCATTCTTCTCCACCTTTTTTCTCGCCACCACCGGTGAGCCCACTTTTTAGAATCTTGTAATTCTATTTTTTATAGATTCAAAATATTCTTTTGATCTCTTTATTGGCGATCAATTATTTGAAATAGAACTTAATAGGTATGCCTTAAAACTAAATGCCATGAAACATGAGCCCCAGTGAGTATAAAAATAAAACAACATTCAACATAAATAGAGCAACACTTTTTTTGCAGGGACATTACATGTGGTGCTACACTCACGTGGGCAAAGTTAATTGAACAACTAACACGTATATGAGTTCATCCGTTATTGGGTAGATAGAGCACAAGGGATAAGTGTTGATTTTTATTGCATGTTAGAGGAAAGAACTTAGTCTTATACATGTATCATTGCACACAAAATTTCTTAGGGCCATGGAAGCGCAGTGGGTCCCGACCCTTACTGGCGGGAGGGCACTGAGATTTCCCTCCATCAAGTATGAGTCATAGAAAAATTTGAAGATACGTTCCACCATCCACTTTCCACCCAAGCACACCAGCAATTTTTATTACTCATCCCCATGGTTCAACTAGAATCCAACCAATTGATCAAAGACACATGGAGGTACACTTGGCAGAATAGCAACTACTCCTCTAGGAAAATGTATAAAGTTCTACAAGGACCTAGCCAATGTCATCAAATATTTAAGCAACTTTGGAAATGCTCAACTCAACTCCGGCACAATATTTTTTCTGGCTCCTTCTATACGACAAAGTGAACACGAGAAACTTATTAAAGAGGAAATACGTGTATCTGGAAGACTACAGTTGTGTGCTATGCAATGACAAGGTTGAGGAAACTTTAATGCAACTATTTTGGGACTGCTTTTTTGCTAGTGGCTTTGGAATCATATTATTCCTCAAATAAAATGAGGTATTTCATGTTATGATGAGATCTACAACAACTCCTCATTGCTTCCCAAAGAGATCTCTTCAGATATTCCGCTTATGGGCTGCTGGGGTATTTAGTCCGTCCATAATGACAAAATCTTCAGGAAAGCCGCTCCACATATTATGGGCCGAAAATACTACCTTCAAGAGGGAATTAAGGGGGCAGCCTTAAGAGCCAAAACCTCTATAGTTGATAAGTTTCAGTTCTGGTTAGAGAACAACTTGTAATTTGGTTGATCATGTTTCAGAGCTATTGGATGAATGCCATGTAATTGTTCGGGCTTTGTATATTATTTTCTTTGACTATTAATATATTACCATAGAACTATTATTCTACGGTCCAAGGTTCGAAAAAATTTGGCTACATTGTTTTTTCCTACATTCCCTGTTATAAGACATTCTAACTTTTTCAAAATCAGATTTATGTAAACACATTTTAGCGGAGTAAATAACATAAAACTACCATAATTCGGGCTAGGGTTCCAAAAACTACCGCTTATTGAAAAGTTCCTACACCTAGCACAGCTATGGTTTTTTATTTCAAAAACGTACTTTGCTGCATTGATGACTATATTATTAATTTTAAGGGTGATTATCACAGTTCAGGTCGACTCGTCAGGTCTAACATGACATAAAAATCAACAACATTAACTTTGACCGTTAGGTTGAACATTACGACAACTGGGACATACATCTTGCACTCAACAACTATTTCAGATTAGGAGTAAGCAAAATTTTTATATCATGTATTTAGATACTAACCATCAATTCTAAGAGTTAAAGACCACATGTGTATTCCTCAAATTAGAAAAGTACATATAATTGGGGAAGGACCATTGCCCCCCTCCCCATACAAAATGAGAAAATAACAAATGTTTTTGATGCAGCTTGCACGCATATCTAATTAAAAATTGAGAACATTAATTCATAATTTAAACATCTGGTTAATTCATGATATTTACATTAGAAACATCAACATCCTTTTACACAGCGGTGGAGGACATTTTTTTTAAATGGGACGAACTCTGAAGCAACTTTTTTATGCAAAACCAAAATAGTCAATAGACACCGCAGACTAATATTTGTATGTGATCTCAAATAGAGTAACCTAATACAATGAAAATGCAAACATACTTATATGAAAACAACCTAAAGCATACTCATAATGAAGTTCTAGTCACATCTAGAAGACCCATGTAATGGAGGCGCCCTATCAAATTTTGGAAAATTTCCTTAATTTTAGCAAGATCAAAAGTTTAAAATATTGCTCGCATAATATAATGCACCATCAAAGAATTCCATCATAGTCAGGAAGAGTGCAATCTTCTTGTTGTGTGCATTTATTTTGGTTTCACTAAAGCAAGAAACAAAAGAGTTCAAATGGCATGAGAAGTCATCTACTATTCCTCTCAGTGTGTTGCTTCCGGCGATCCTAAGCAATGGCATGAAAGAAAGGTGTGCAAGCTAATGAAATCTTTGTATGGCCTGGAACAAGCTCCTAAACAATGACATGTGAGGTTTAATACAACTTTGGCATCTGCTAGCTTTGTTGTTAATGAAGTTGACAAATATGTATACTATCGTTATGGTGGGGGCGAAGGAGTTATACTTTATCTGTATGTCAATGACAAACTGATATTTGGGACCAACCTCAAAGTAATTGATGAGGTCGTGGCTTTTCTATCTCATAACTTTGAGATGAAAGATCTTGGTGTGGCTGATGTTATCTTGGGTATCAAGCTACTGAGAGATAATGAGGATGGAATTACATTTCTACAATCCCACTATGTTGAGAAGATCTTGAGTCGTTTCGTATATTTGGAGTTCAAAACTTCTGCAACACCATATGATCCTACCGTGCGGATTCGAAAGTTAGAAGGCATGACTATAGATCAATTGAGATACTCTCAAGTGATTGGTTCAGTCATGTACCTAGCTTGTGCTACTCGGCCTGACATCTCATTTGATGTGTGCAAATTGAGCGGGTTTGTTTTCAATCCGGGAGATGTGCATTGGCATGCTGTTGCAGGAGTGATGCGTTATTTACAAGGTATCGTGAACTATGGAATTAACTATTCTGGGTACCCGACGGTACATGAGGGTATAATGGTTAGAATTGGATATCTAATACTTATGAGAAGAAAGCCACAAGTGGATATGTGTTTAGACTTGGTGGTGGTGTTATTTCTCGAAAGTCTTGCAAGCAGACGGTCTTAACGAGATCAACTATGGAAGCAGAACTCACAACATTAGACACATCATGTGTCGAAGAAAAATGGCTTCGAGAGCTTTTGATGGATTTGTCAGTGGTTGATAAGCCAATCCCGACTATCCTTATGAAATGTAACAATTAGACAGCTATTGCCAAGGCAAAGAGTTCAAAGGACAACATGCAATCCACAGAGCATGTAAGAAGATTGAAATTTGTCAGGCATTCAAGAAACTCCAAAGTAATAGCGTTGGATTATATTCAAATGGCTAAGAATCTGGCTGATCCCTCTACAAAAGGACTATCACAGATTGTGATAGAAGATGCATGGAGGGAGATGGGCATGAGACCCACGTAAGTTTTCATGGGAGTAACCCAACCTATGTGATCAGATATCTCGTGAATTATGACCTGGAAAAACAATCTAGCGGTCAATCGAGGAGAGTATCCTTACTAACCCACTCCGTTGGAGGTGCAATACTGTTGTAATCTTTAAAGCAGGTTTAATTTTGTCTTAATGTGTTTCAAAGCTTGTTTAAGCAAGATTCTATCTTACAGAGCGATTTTTGGAGGAACACACCTATGTGAGCCCGACTGTAGGTCACAATATATACGATTGGGGAATCTCTATGAAGCTCATGAACAGGTTATGAATATGACTAATAAGCTCCACCCGTGGGGTTCAGCCTTCGGTAGCCACGTACTAGCTGACAATTGGTGAAACTTTTGCATGCCAAACTAACAATTCAAGGCATAGTCCTTTGTTTAGTTGTGAAGAAGTCTAATCCGACTGCTCTAGGTGGAAGTTCAACTTAACAGTCTCCACTAAAAATTTTGGTATATCAAAACATTGTTTGAAACAAATGACAAACTAATATTTCTTGAGATCTGGTGGGGGGTTGTTGAATTATAGATGGGCTTTGGCCCATATAAGGCAATAATCCATGGTAAATCTCTAAGGCCCATTTAGGCCCAGTTCTTTTGGTCGATTCTTCCAGAATCTTGAGAATCGGGCCTCCCCCTAGCTTCTTCCAAAATCTTGAACAAATATTTTTTTACAATCCTAGCTACTTAGCATGTAAACATCTAGGACTGTCAAAAAAATATGGATTCAAGATTCTGGGAGAAGCTGGGTGGAGGGTCGATTCCTAAGATTCTAAGATAATCGGCCAGAAGAACTGGGCCTTAGGTGCATGGCAAGTGGTGGGAAGTTTAGTACCATACTGCTACAGTAGTCAGAGCGAGAACCCTTTATAAAGGATGTTCCACCAATTGCCATTGGGAGCTTGGGAAGAGGAGTGGTACACGCGTGCTCCTCTCCGCCCTCCTCGCCTCGCTACGCCTCACCTCGCTTCGCCATGACACGTGCGCCGCATGTTGCGGTAATGAGCCGAGCCAAGTCTTATTTTTGCTAGTCAAGAATGGTTAACTAATTGTGGATTAATTTTTGTCATTGTCCAAGACGTTGGACCATGGGCTGTTTGCGGACTCGATCGTGGGCCTAAGCCCAGGCCATATACCCGAAGGCCTATATAAGGAGTCGCTGGCCTGCGGAGTGAACCCTAACTCACTCACTCCCTCCTTGCACAACCCTAGCTCATCTACTGTTCCTCTCAGTGCTGCTTCCGGCAATCCCATCCCGACGACCGTGTGCACGGTTTGTCAGGGGAGCAGGTGCCTCCGAAACCCCGTCATTCAAGATCCTGCATGTAAGAACGACGATAAAGTTTTTGGGGAGCGTCGCGGTGCGACTGCTCCCGATCAGTCCCTGTCTTCATCCGGCTTTGCTTCTACCATGCAATGACTCCATGGCCGATGACGCTGCCGCCAAGAGAAGGTCGCGGCCAATGCTCAAGCTGCTATTCCTGCCGTCGTGTTGGCCTGGTCAAGTGGTGGGTATGATTCGTTCATTCCCTATTTGTTCGTTCATGTGCTAGCCATATATATTGTGTTCATAGATGTTTTAGTTCTGCATACTGTATGTGCTAACATGTTTAGGTATCGGTATGAAGTGCATAATGTGATTTGCATCTTTATTATCTACTCGAGGATTAGATTAATCGATAATGTGCTAATATTTGTTTGGACCAATGGATATAATTATTTTATGTCCTATAGTATATTTATCGTGGTGGCATGAAGGAACTCTTCAATTGGCAATGATAATAAATCTTTATAAGGCATGATTAGATAGTAAAATGTTTGCCTACGAGGTGCTTGCATGGTGTGCTGGCACAAAGATACCGGCAATTCAGTCTCGAGGGACACGGCATCTGACGAAGCTCGCACGCACGCACACACGTGTGCCTCGCGAGCCCGTCTTTGGTCGACAGCATACATTGCTCCGAATTGTTGAGCAACAGATCATAGTCTATGATGGCCATGGGACGACGAACATGTGTTTTCTGTCCGTTTCGGCGGGGCTCCGGGTCGCAGCTTCGTCGTTACGGTGACGTGCGCGCGTGATACTTTTGACATTTCGGCTGCATAACTTCACCGGCGTATGTAACGTCGAAGTCCATCGATCCTGGCGTTCTCAGTGCGCACAAGATTCAAAGGATTCTAGGTAAAGAAATGGTAAACTATATTTCTAGGTAAGAAATAGGGTGCCATACATAATGCGGATCGTGGGAATGGATTGGCGGTAGACGAATCACAGATGAACCCAGCCAGCTCGGAACTCTCCTGATAAGCCGTTCTCCTTGTGACTGACTCACCAGAAATGTAGTGTCTGTCAACGGAAAAGCTGACTATTCTAGTGAAGCGGGGTGCCGAGTCAATTGGGAATGAACGCGTAATGACTGGATTCAGACTAATTTAAACATGCGGATCTATTTCTTCACACTACTTTTGTAGTAGCTAATGAGGACTTTGCGGCGTTATCAGCGAAGGCTGACATTCTTGATGATGTACTAGTATTAAACTGCACACTGTAATATTGCGTGACCGATTTGGTATCGAAGAATGAAACGGCTCCGAAATTCTGAGGGTGGCGGCGAGAGACCTGCAGGATAATTCCTCGACACCGACTAGCTTGTCGCCAACGGATTTGTCCCGTGCTCCAGGCCAAGTGCTTCGCGATCAAGGTGGTTTTCTCATCCATGTGTCTGCATCCACTTACAGATAACGGGGCACATCTGTCGGGCTGTCCGGTCCCGTTATGAACGATTATACATAATAATAGCACTGAATAATTGAATAGTTCATTGGCAAAAAAAGAATAATTGAATAATACTCCCTCGGTCCTTTAATGTAAGATGTTTTTGCATGGAGGGGGTACGGTTTCATCTTGTCAGAAGTATCAATTCTGTTCAAACGTCGAAAGGACACTCATGCTGAACGCTGGTATGAAGTAGCAGAGCAATCGATCCTTTTCGGCACCCACTCGTGTATGTTGCTTTGGCCTGAAGATCAACGTGCATCAACCACCACATCCGACTAAACACGCCCCCCATCGGAAACTTCCACAACGCCCGTGTGTGTCGTGTAATTAAGTCAGGCCGTGGCTGCTGCGTGCAGGTGGGACATGCTACTATGCCGTTTGATCGTGTCAAACCACACCATGGGCTTCATTCATTTAAACCTCGATTATTAGTTCACAGTAATCGCAGATTAACACTCCCCCTCCGGGCTCCGGCCATCCTATCCCATTCCCAGCTACACCGCCCGTGCCGCGCATGCGCAAGGAAGAAGATGATCCTCGCGGTGCTGATCGCCGTCCTGGCATCTTCTTCGGCGCGGCCGGCGACGGCGGCGACGGCGATGCAGCCGAGGGACACGTGCCTGCGGCGGTGCGGCGACATCGACATCCCGTACCCGTTCGGCGTGGGCAGCGGGTGCCACCTCGAGACCGGGGACTGGACCTTCTCGCTCAGCTGCAACCGCACCGGCGACGGGCGGCACCGGCTGTACAACTACCAGATCGAGGTGCTGGACATGTCGGTGCGGCGCGGCCAGCTGCGCATCTACAGCCTCATCAACCCGTGGTGCTACAACGCCACCACGCGCGCCATGAACGACCAGAACAACTGGTGGTACAACATGGACATCACCAACTTCCGCATCAACGACGCGCTCAACCGCTTCACCGTCATCGGCTGCAACTCGCTCGCCTACATCCGCTCCCTCAACGACACCGCCGACCGCTACATGACCGGCTGCATGGCCATGTGCCCCGGCGTGGGCCGCCTGGAGAACGGCTCCTGCGCCGGCGTCGGCTGCTGCCAGACCGCCATCCCGTCCGGCCTCAACGGCTACCAGATCTCCTTCGAGGAGAAGTTCAACACCTCCGGCACCGCGGGATTCAGCCCCTGCAGCTACGCCGTGCTGCTCGAGGCCGCCGCCTTCGACTTCCGCACCACCTACATAACCACCGACGAGTTCATGGCCGCCAACGGCAGGCAGGTGCCGCTGGTGCTCGACTGGGCCATCGGGAACAAGACGTGCGAGGAGGCCGGGCGCAACTCGTCGGCCTACGCCTGCGTCAGCAGCAACAGCGAGTGCGTCGACTCCAAGTACGGACGGGGCAAGGGGTACCTCTGCAACTGCTCCGCCGGCTACGACGGCAATCCCTACCTCCTCGACGGCTGTCAAGGTACACGTCTTCCCTTGTGTTGGTTGCTTGTTTCCACTGCCGCGAGTTCACTTCATGGTGATTCATGCATGCCCGGCCGTTTTGATCGCCTTGTCCTCGCAGATATCAATGAGTGCCAAGACGAACGGTACCCCTGCTCTGTTCCGGATACGTGCGTCAATACCATCGGAGGATACAGCTGCGTTTGCCCTGAGAAGACATCAGGCAACGCATACAACGGAACATGCGAGAAAGACAAGTCTCAGATTGGGTGGGAGATCGCCATTGGTAAGCCATCGATGTTATTTCTGGGGTTCCATTGATTTTTTCCTAAGATAATTGGTGTAACGTCCATTCGTACTGATTGCCGCAGGAGTCAGCATCAGCGTGATCGTACTGATAGCCACCGCTTCCTGCGCCTACATGATCTACGCCAAACGGAGGCTGGCCAAGATCAAGAGAGAGTACTTCGAGCAGCACGGGGGCCTGACGCTGTTCGACGAGATGAGGTCGAGGCAGGGGCTGTCCTTCAAGCTCTTCACCCAGGAGGAGCTGGAGGAGGCGACGGGCAGGTTCGACGAGCGCAACGTGATCGGCAAGGGGGCCAACGGCACCGTGTACAAGGGAACCACCAAGGACGGCGACCTGGTGGCCATCAAGAAGTGCCGGCTCGCCAGCGAGAGGCAGCAGAAGGAGTTCGGCAAGGAGATGCTCATCGTGTCCCAGATCAACCACCGCTACATCGTCAAGCTCTACGGCTGCTGCCTCGAGGTGGAGGTCCCCATGCTCGTCTACAAGTACATCCCCAACGGCACCCTCTACCGGCTCATCCACGGCCGCCGCGACCGCGACGGCCCGCGCATCCCCTTCACCGCCCGGCTCAAGATCGCCCACCAGACCGCCGAGGCGCTCTCCTACCTGCACTCCTGGGCCTCGCCGCCCATCCTCCACGGCGACGTCAAGACGTCCAACATACTCCTCGACGCGGACTACACGGCCAAGGTCTCCGACTTCGGGGCGTCCACGCTGGCGCCCACGGACGAGGCGCAGTTCGTCACCTTCGTGCAGGGCACCTGCGGGTACCTGGACCCGGAGTACATGAGGACGTGCAAGCTCACCGACAAGAGCGACGTGTACAGCTTCGGCGTCGTCCTGCTGGAGCTGCTCACGTGCAGGAAGGCGCTCAACCTGGAGGAGCTCGAGGAGGAGAAGTACCTCTCGTCGCAGTTCCTGCTGGTCCTCGGGGAGAACAGGCTGGAGGAGATGCTAGACCCCCAGATCAAGCGCGAGCAGAGCATCGAGGTGCTCGAGCAGGCGGCGGAGCTGGCGAAGCGGTGCTTGGAGATGCTGGGCGAGAACAGGCCGTCCATGCGAGAGGTTGCGGAGGAGCTTCATAGGTTGAGCAAGCTGGCCCAGCATCCATGGGGGCCGCCGGATTCTGCGGAGCTAGTGGAACTGCTGCGTGGATCACCGTCGCCGACCACGTACTCTGGCCACTCTGGGTCTGGGGTAGAGCTTAGTAGCACTAGGAATGTCAGTTTCACTGACACGGCGTACATAGGAATTCAGTCCCCGCGTTGATGCCCGGTGCAGTTTGGGTACATACACTCGTGTGACAAATCCTCCTGTTTTTTGCTCTCCCGATTGATGCAAACAAGAAGTGAAGCATTTTTTCACCTCCACTCCCCATTTGTACGTTTTTGACATATTTTTACCACATTTAAAAGTATTGACACATTTTATCTGGCATGGTGATGTGGGTTGGGTCAGGCTACTTAAGGCCATTTCTAACCGATCCATAATAAATAGTGAAGTATCCGGTGGAGTAATGTAACCAAAATTTTAAACCATGTTTTTATTAAGTAAAATTTTGACAGAAATAAAATTTTATATTATATTAGGTCCTTTATTAATTTCAGAACCTTTTCTGTTTTTCTGTTTTCAAAAATCCTTCCTTCCATGTAGAAACTTTTGAAAATATTGTGGGTTTTGAAAATTTTCCTTAACCCTTTTATTTGACTTTTAAAATTCAGTAGTAAATATTTTCATAATAAAAATTTGCCCAAAATAATTGTTTTAATGGTATTTTCAAACACTGAAATGCTTCTGTTGAACTAAAAATAATTCGAATAACTTTTATAAAATGCCACAGAATTTTTGAGAGTTCATATGATGCGTATAGATCACTTTTGTGCAAAAATCCATCTTGGTCATTTGAAAATTTTGAGCACAACTTCCATTTCTCAATTCTGGTCCAATTTGAGCATTGGACTACAACCCCATTTTTCCTTACTCAAATAATTTTGAAAAATTTCCACCTCATAGTCCTTCCAACCAAACCCTTGAGTCCAGAAAATCAGCTCAATTTGCATCTTGGAAGCCCACTAAATGTTTCCTCCAAGTTTGGGTCCAGAACTGAATTCCACCAGCACTTGCACTTGCAAGATTTTCCTTTTATCAAACCAACTCCACCACCATCTTTAGCATCCAAGGATACCTCCACCTGCCAATTCCCAGGTCTAATTTTTTTTACCAAGGTCACCCTAACATTCGGTCGAACATCTTGAGCTCATGACAAAATTGGGCAACCTTTCTGAACTCCATGTGACAGTAGCACCTCCTGCTAAACTAACTTTTCCATCATCCTTGTCATCGAAACTAACACTATCCTGCGAAATCTCATCTGGATTGGATCACTGTAGCCCTCCCTAGCATTTTGCTGAACACTCAGCGTGCACGTCCAGAGCATGAGCAGAGCGCTCATAGTGTAGGCTTTGGCATTGAGCTGTTGTTGCCTCTCTACTGCTACCCTCGCTCGTCCCGATCTTCATCTGGATCCCCATGCTGCCCCTGAGCCTTGCCGACATCTGCTCCTGGCCACTAGTGTCGGCTAGCATCGCCCTGCACCGTCCAGCACGCCGCCGTGTCGGGCAAGCCACCGCCCAGACGCATGGCTCGCATCTGAGCCACTAGAGGCCGCCAACACTTACTCCACTACCCTGTAGCCTCTCTGTCAACCCGCCGTCCACCACCGGCCTCACCGCCGATCACGGGAAGCCATCAATGGCCGCCGCAGCAGACAACTCGGGGACGGTACCTCCCAAGCCACCTGGCGCGCATTTTTTTTATCAAAGAAGGGCTTGCCCCCTTTCGATTTTCATTACTGAAAACCATCACGATATCCAACAGAGTTCTGAACAAACGCCCACTACAGCGACACTAAACGCTGCCAGGTTCGAAACCGAAAGACCAAAAGGTCACGTTGAGAGCTAGCCACAGCCAGCCCCCCCCCCCACACTGCAGCCAACATCCAGCTTACTAGGAATCAGTCTAGAACAACCAGGATAACAAAATAAAAGAAGCCCTGAAGCTAACAGCCACTAAAACAAAGCAGCAATATCCGGATCCACAGCAGCAACAGTTCCAGCCTCCAATCTAGCGACGTTAATTTTCCATCCTTGCCTGGCTGTGAACACCTCATTTGCTGCCCGTTCTAGTGTTCTTGCTCCTAGCTCCAACATTTTTTTTGCGTCTCCTTTATCTGCAAAATAGACCAGTCAATCAACCATCTGCACATCAGTTTGGCAATATATAAAGGATCATTTATCCTTTTTTCTCAAATATAATCGCATTTCTGCTTTTCCAAATAGCCCAGAACAGGGTAGAAACCCCTACCATGACCATTTTCTTATCATCTTTGTTGAATTTTTTAATCCAGTCTCCAAAGAAATCTTTTACATTTAGAGGGACAGTTTTTAAACCACACACACATCTAACCAAACTCCATAACAGAGAAGCCACAGAACAAGAGAACAAGAGATGGTCAATTGATTCATTTTCCCACAGAAAACACAATCTTTCCCTCCCTTCCATTCTCTTTTTAATAGATTATCTCTAGTTAAGATCCTTTTTTTATTGACTAGCCACAGAAAGACTTTTAACTTTGCTGGTACCTTAACTTTCCACAAGTACTAGTAATCATTTTCCTATACAAGGACCCCACAGAAAACTTATGATCAGCAGTGAGGGTCCAGGAAATTTTATCAGCCCCTCCCTTCATAGGGATTTCTTCGCATCTTTTTTTCAGGTTTTTCCATAGCCCAAGGGTCTCCCCATGCAAAGTTCTCCTGAATTTGAACCCATGCCACCCTTTTTGGATAGCTTCTTGCACAGTAATTTTGTGGTCAAAGCATATGTCATATAATCTGGGATAAGCATCTATCAGGGGTTTGTTATCCACCCAAATATCTTTCCAAAATCTAGTGTTCTTTCCATTTCCCAATTCTTTTTTAACAAATTTATAAAAGATCTCTTTGATTTTTATCAGGATTGTCCGGAACTGGGAATCTCCAGGTTTCTCACTAACTAATGCTAGAAAGCCTCCTTTTCTATATTTTTCATCTAATACATCTTGCCAAAGCCCTTTTTCAGTTTCCAACTTCCAAAACCACTTAGCCAGCAATGCTATATTCATAATTTTCAAATTAAGAATCCCTAAGCCACCTACAGCTTTAGGTAGACAACATTTTTCCCATTTAACTAGGTGATATTTTTTCACATTTTCATCTTCCTGCCAGACTAACCTAGCCCTGAAGAAATCAGCTTTTTTAACAATCCCTTTTGGGATTGCATAAAAGGACATCATGAACAAGGGGATATTGGTGAGACATGCCTGCACCAGAGTGATTCTTCCAGCAATGGACCCCAACAACTTCCCTCGCCAGGAGCCGCACCTTTTTTCAATTTTATCAGTTACACAGTTCCAATGAATATTTCTAATCCTATTTTCTGACATAGGCATTCCCAAGTATTTAATAGGAAGTTCCCCCATTTTACATGTTAAAATTTCCTGATATATCATCTGTTTTTCTTTGGCTTTGCCAAATAACAATAATTCACCTTTATGGAAATTTATTTTGAGACCAGACATCTGTTCAAAAGCCCCCCAAATAAACTTGAGGTTCTTCACACTTTCTATCTCATCTTTGATCAGAAAGATGGTGTCATCAGCACATTGTAGCATGTTTATTCCCTTATTATCTCCTGCTCTCAGCACCCCTTTGACACCTGTGAAGGAAATATGCCCTAGAGGCAATAATAATGTTATTATTTTATTTCCTTATAACATGATAAATGTTTATTATTCATGCTAGAATTGTATTATCCGAAAACATAATACTTGTGTGAATACATAGACAAACTAAACGTTACTAGTATGCCTCTACTTGACTAGCTCGTTAATCAAAGATGGTTATGTTTCCTAACCATAGACATGTGTTGTCATTTGATTAATGGGATCACATTATTAGGAGAATGATGTGATTGACATGACCCATTCCATTAGCTTAGCACCCGATCGTTTAGTATGTTGCTATTGCTTTCTTCATGACTTATACATGTTCCTATGACTATGAGATTATGCAACTCCCGTTTGCCGGAGGAACACTTCGTGTGCTACCAAGCGTCACAACGTAACTGGGTGATTATAAAGGAGCTCTACAGGTGTCTCCAAAGGTAAATGTTGGGTTGGCGTATTTCGAGATTAGGATTTGTTACTCCGATTGTCGGAGAGGTATCTCTGGGCCCTCTCGGTAATGCACATCACATAAGCCTTGCAAGCATTACAACCAATGAGTTGGTTGCGAGATGATGTATTACGAAACGAGTAAAGAGACTTGCCGGTAACAAGATTGAACTAGGTATTGAGATACCGACGATCGAATCTCGGGCAAGTAACATACTGATGGCAAAGGGAATAACGTATGTTGTTATGCGGTCTGACCGATAAAGATCTTCGTAGAATATGTGGGAGCCAATATCAGCATCCAGGTTCCGCTATTGGTTATTGACCGGAGACATGTCTCGGTCATGTCTACATTGTTCTCGAACCCGTAGGGTCCGCACGCTTAAGGTTTCGATGACAGTTATATTATGAGTTTATAAGTTTTGTTGTACCGAAGTTAGTTCAGAGTCCCGGATATGATCACGGACATAACGAGGAGTCTCGAAATGGTTGAGACATAAAGATTGATATATTGGACGACTATATTCAGACACCGGAAGTGTTCCGGATGATTTCAGAGAAAACCGGAGTACCGAAGGGTTACCGGAACCCCCCGGGAGAAGTAATGGGCCATATGGGCCTTAGTGGAGAGAGAGAAGGGCAGCCAGGGTGGGCCGCGCGCCTCCTCCCCCCTGGTCCGAATTGGACTAGGAGAGGGGGGGGGGCGGCGCCCCCCTTTCCTTCTCCCTCCCCAGTTCCTTCCCCCTCCTAGTAGGAGTCCTACTCCTACTAGGAGGAGGACTCCTCCTTGGCGCGCCTATAGGGCCGGCCGGCCTCCTCCCCTTGCTCCTTTATATACGGGGGCAGGGGGCACCCCTAGACACACAAGTTGATCCACGTGATCGTTTTTTTAGCCGTGTGCGGTGCCCCCTTCCACCATAATCCTCGATAATATTGTAGTGGTGCTTAGGCGAAGCCCTGCGACAGTTGAACATCAAGATCATCGCCACGCCGTCGTGCTGACGGAACTCTTCCCCGACGCTTTGCTGGATCAGAGTCCGGGGATCGTCATCGAGCT